TGATTATCTCACCTCACGCAGCCGCAGTGCGGGATGTTATTTGGGAAGCCCATTGTCCTTGGGCTCTATATCATGTAATCATAAGAAACCCAGACCGTATAATTTGGCAGTGACAAGAGCCTGAACAGCAGTGACTAATCCCCATTTATTTGATGCCAGTATTTCTCTCGCTCTCTCTCAGCTCCTTTCATCTTGAGGTTGTTTCGTTAATCATCACTCTCGCATCTGAAGTAGCGCCTCTATCTGAAAAACATGTGGAGTCCTGTAGCGTAGTGGTTAGAGCACTTGCCTCGCAAGAGAGAGGACCTGGGTTCGATTCCTGGGCAGGGCGAAACCTTAGGCAGATTTTCTTACTCCAACGCCTCTGTTTACCCCGCAGTAAGTGGGAACTCACTCGGTTGTTAGTCGATTGGCAGATTGCTTTCCTGGGGGTGATAATCCCTCCGAAAAAATTGGTCATTTCAATCCACGACTGTTTGTGGGAGCAATTGGCTGCCGCATTTCGCCCACAAAATATACAGTCAATTGACTTTACAGTATATTCTGTGAAACGCTTTTAGACGTCTCAACGACGTGATAAGGCGTTATATTTTTACTTTAGATTTTTACTTATTGCTGGGTAAACAGAAGCGAGTGGGGTAAGGAAACGTGCCTCAGGTTTCGCCCCACCCCGGGAATCGAACCGGGGTCCTCTTGCTTGCGAGGCGAGTGCTCTAACCAATCTCACATTATCCCACTGCTCTCTGCCTGAAGTAGTTCCTCCGAAATCTTCTTTTCGATTGCCACCTCCAGTCGCTATCTTATGCACTCGCCAACAAAATCAGTCGTTCACTTCACAGGTTGTGAGCGGGACCTTGCAGGGTTAATATAATTGGAATTCAGCGAGGTACTAGCATTATTAACACACGGTCAAGCTTTCAGAATCATTCGTCGAACCTTTCCCAAAGTACGTTGTAAGGCATCTAACTGTACAACTGAAATAAAGCCACTTTCACCCCGAGTAAACCAACAGATTTTAATTCCAAGCACTACTGGCTTGCCTTCGCTTAATAAAGAAGTGTTGACTGACTTCTTGAATGGCTCGGAGAAGAAAGATTTGATAATTGGATTCACCCCTCCTCCCCTTTTTTACAATAAGTACATCGATAAAGAAACTCAGACAGAGTACGAGACAGAAAGGGAGAGGGAGACTCATTGAATGTAGCAGGTTTAATAAAACAAATCATTAAATTCAATAAAGCGCCTTTCACGTTGAGAGGACGTCTCAAAGCACTTCAGGGGATGCCCTATTATGTGCAATTGGCTTAACCCCCAAAAGCGATCCACCAACTGGGTTCCTACATACTGCTCGGTAAACAGAGGCATGTGGATTAAGGAAACTTGTCTAAGGTTTCGCCCTGCCCGGGAATCAAACCCGGTCCTCTCGTTTGCGAAACGAGTGCTCCAACTACTGAGCTACAGGACTCCACAATCAATTTTGAAATTAATCCATTCAGCAAGAGACTGACGAGGATTGGGGTGATGGGGATATGGAGTTGGGTGAGGATATGGGCAGCGGAGTTTTGAATTAATTCGAGTTTATGAATGGCGGAGGCGAGGAGGGAGTGGGAAAAATCGAGCACAACAACTTGCATTTATATAGCGCCCTTCATGTAGGATGGTGTCCCGGAGAGCTTCAAAGAGTACAGAATTGGAGCAGACAAACACACATAGATACAAAGAGATATACACACACACACACACACAGACCTGGCGCCAATTCGTTCCCTTTGGTCTCTCTACCACAACCCATTTTGAACATCATGGAGTCCTGTAGCTCAGTGGTTAGAGCACTCGCTTTGCAAGCGAGACACCTGGGTTCGATTCCCGGGAGGGCAAAACCTTGGGCAAGTTTCCTTACTCCACACGACTGATAATAATCCCTCGAGAAAAAAAACAATAATAAATTGGTCACTTCAGTCCACGGCTGTCTGTGGGACGCTGCTGTGCGCAATTGGCTGCCGCGTTTCACCCACAAATATACAGACAATTCAGTTTACAGTATATTCTGTGAAGTGCTTTGAGATGCCTAAAAGACGTGAAAGGCACTATATCAAATGCAAGGATTATTATTATTATTATCCCCATTGAGTCTCCCTCGATGCCTTTTGCCTCAGTGAGTTCCACTGCGGTTTCAAGAGGGAAGTATCCAAGTACATGAAAAGATACAACTTTCATTTTTATATTGCCCATCATGTGGGGTTAGCGATAGAAGCTTGAAGGGGTATGAGGATAAGACAGAGCAGTGGGATTGAATAACCTTGCTCTGAGAGTCAGTGCAGACTTGATGGGCGGAGTGGCCTTTTACTGTGCTATGAATTTCTATGACACTTTCACAACCTCAGTCGCAACAAACACTATTTTGAGTTTTCATGTGAATTTGATAGGAAGTCTTTCACATAAGGAGGTTGTCTCAAAAGCACCTCACAGGATTTTACTGTGAAGTGCGATGACTGCCGATTTGTGGCCGAAAGCAAGTCAGTTTGCGCACAGCAAAGTCCCACAAACAGCCGTGAGGTCAGTGATAATCTTATCTGGTGGATTGTCGGCCAGGATACCGGGAGAGAAAAACTCCCTTCTCTTTACAAGCAGTTTTGTCAGGTCAGGTCAACAGGTGGTTGACATCACTTCCCACTCTGCGCGAACGCAGCGAACAGGAAGTGATGGAGCGGTGACCTGGAGTTCAGCCGTTTTGTACTTTCGACGTGGGAACCGGACGGGGCGCCGGGAGAGAGTGTCACACAGACACAGTCAAACCAAACCCGCTGTCGCGCCTCGCTATAACCTTGGGGATTGGGAGGGTGAGGGTGTGTAAGATTCCCAAAGCAGCACATGATAACAGGGCTGCACTGTGTTACGGGCTAACCTTGGCCTCCTAGGGGCCATCTTAAACAGCACCCCCTGCTCGATCAACACGCCCTGTAGAGGTGCGCGGAGTAAATCGAACCGAGGAGAAAAGAAAACATGCCCTCAGCGAGAGGAGCTTTTAATGAACGCAGGTTTCAATATAAATAGATGGATCACTGTTGAGAAAAAGTGTGAGTGTATTTTCTTTTCCTGAATGATTACCTTTAATTGGGGCAAGCGAAGCCAGAGAAAACACTTCTACCCTTCTCGTGAGAGCGCTGAATGGGTCCCTTTCACTGGCCTGTGTTGTTCTACTCTTACCTGGAAATCAAAGCCTACATTTCGCTCTTTTAATATACCCAGATTCTCGGTCATTTAGGGGGAAGAATCAACGTGTATGTGCTCGCTGAGCAGCGAAGGTGGAAAAATTGTTAACCGCACTCTGGTAAATATCGGTGCTGCTTTTAATTAAAAACCTGAGAAATCTTATCCCCATGTTACACTGGAGAAAGAAAACGCAAGGATTATTGAGAGAGAGGGAGAGAGAGAGACGTGAGAGACATACAGAAAAGACAGAAAGAAAGGACAGAAAGCAAGTGAAACAGTCACTCACACACACCAAAAATAGAAAGAAAAACAACTTAATAATAATTTGCCTACAAATACAGTCATTACACTTTGCTTTGAGACGTCTTCCCCACATGAAAGGCGTTACATCAAATGCAAGTTTATTACTATAATTCTTATATTTGATACAGCACCTTTCATGTACAAAGGTTGTCTCAAAGCTCTTCACAGGATTTACTGTAAAGTGTATTCACTGCATTTTGTGGAGCAAACTCGGCAGCCAATTTGGCACAGCGGTGTCCCACAAACAGCTGTGGAATGGGTAACCAATTTTATTTGGGGGATTGTTGGCCAGGACACCAGGAGAGAAAAATTCCCTTCTCTTTTCAAATAGTGCATTGAGATCTTTAACGTCCACCTGAACAGGCCTTGGTTTAACGTTTCATCCGAAGGACGGCACCTCCGAAAAAGCAACACGATCCTCCTTTCCCCCAGCACTGTACTGGAGTGTCAGCCTAGACGGTAGAAGCTCAAAGTCCTAGTCTATCAACTGAGCCAGGTTGACAACTTAAACTTGCATTTATGTAATGCCCTTTACCGAGGATAACATAGAGAGACAAAACAAGATGCACACCCAGAGAAAGGATAGGGGAAGAAAGAGAAAGACACACACATCCATATGGCTCGACAATGCCAACTCCCTGCTGTCAGCCTTCCCAAATCTTCCCTCCACGAGCTGCAGGTTATCCAGAACTCTGCAGCTCGTGCCCTCCCCCGCTCCAGGCTCCGTGACGCCATAAACCCCCACCCTCGCCCGGCTCCACTGGGTCCACTTCGCTCAAGGAGGATTGAGTTCAAAATTCCCGTCCTCACCTTCAAGGCCCTCCATGGCCTTGCCCCCTTCTACTTCTCCGACCTGCTAACCCCATACCAACCTCTCCATTCCCTCCGCTCAGCAGCTCCGGCCTGCTCCATGTCCCCCACCTGCCCACCCCACTATTAGGGTCGGGCCTTCATCCTCTCTGCCCCCGCCCTCCTGAACTCCATCCCACATTCCCTTCGCCTCACACTCTCTCTTGCCTCCTTTAAGGCACGTTTCAAGACCCTCCTCTTCGACTTTGCCTTCGGCCACCCTCCAACCCCCCGTTCCCAAAGGTTACCCTCCCTGTGGGTAAAGGGAATAGAAGGGTTAGAGAATGATATGTTCTATGAATGCATGTAAGTAACAATCCTTGCATTTGATATCCGCCTTATCACATCGGCGAGATGTCTTAAATTGCCTCACAGGATATTCTGCAAAGCAGATTGAGTGTGTATTTGTGGGTGAAACGCAGCAGTGTTCCACACCCGTTGTGGATTGAGTGAACAGTCAAGTTCCTACTTATTGCGAGGTAAACAGAGGTCTGTGGAGTAAGGAAACTTGCCTAAGGTTTCGCCCCGACTGGGAATCAAACTCAGCGATCGATGAATGGAGCGTATGAGAGCCCCGGGGAGGGGGAGGTCAACAGCCCAACATGGAATTCGCCGGGGTTTAAACTTTTACTTACACTTTCCAGCAAATCCATCAGTTTCCCCAAGAACTTCCGACATTCTGGACTTTTGTCGTCGAGCTTCAACCCAGTCTGGACGGCATACAGGCGGCCTGCACACACAGAGCACGTGGGGTCAGCGTTCACAGTCACACAAAGAGAGGATGATATTCCGATATGTAGTGCCATAGAAAACAATTCTCCCAATTCTCAACCAGTAGCATTGTTAATAATAATAATAATAATCCTTGCGTTTGATACAGTTCCTTATCACATTGTTGAGACGTCTCAAAGCGCTTCACAGAATACACTGCAAAGTGTAGTGACTGGGGGTTTTGTGGGCGAAACGCGGCAGCCAATTGCGCTGAGCTGTATCCCACCAACAGTTGGAGGGCTTATTACCCCTGGAAAGTGATCCACCAATCGACTAACAATCGTGTTCCTACTGAATACTAGGTAAGCAGAGGCGTGTGGAGTAAGGAAACTTTGCTCCGCCCGGGAATCAAATCCGACTCCCATTGCTTGCGAGGCAAGTGATCTAACCACTACGGAACAGGACTCCACAACCCCATTCATTTGCTTGTGTTGGAATCCTGATTTCACGTGCTCAGGAAGGCTGCCCTCTCAGATAAGCAGAACCCTTGGGTTACCATACTATTTGGTGTAGTCGGCCTGGCTCATTCGGTAGTATTCTCACCTCTGAGTCAAAGGGTTGTAGTTTCAAGGACATGGAACTCCATACACTCCAGGGTCGATATTAGATCCCGTGGCGCTATTCAAAGAGAAGGGAGGTTCTCTCTCTCAGTGTCCTGGCCAACAATCCCCCAAATAAAATTGGTTATTCTCTATTTAGTTACTTCCTTATTAATCTATTTATTTATTTAACCTCCGGTTACCTAGCAGTAAGTAAGAACCTGGTTGTTACTCGATGAGTGGATCGCTATCCAGGAGTAATAATCCCTTCAATAAAGATAAACAAAATAAAAAATGTGGTCACTCCATCCACAACTGTTTGTAGCACACTGCTGTGCGCAATTAGCGCACTTGTTTCGTCTACAAAATACTCCGTCAATCCGCTTTACAACATATTCTGTGAAGTGTTTTGAGACGTCTCGGTGACATGTTAAGGCGCTCTATCAAATGAAAGGATTATTATTTCGTATTATTTGTCTCCCACCCACCCCTGTGCCCAATCTGGGAGCAGCGACCAATATAAACAGTCTGCCTTTCTCATCAGTCCCTGTGAAATTTACCAGATACTGGAGTTCACACAACCTCTTAATAGCCCTATGATAAGCAAGACTCCAATCCCTCCCTTTCCTCCCCAACCCCCTCACCATTCCAGTCTACCACACACATGCTTCTCACTGCCTTCATCCTGGCTGTTGTAAGACTGACATTCCTCCTGGTGGAATGGGGAGGCAGGGCAGAGCTTATTTTTATTAGGATGATGATCTTTGCATTTGATATAGCGCTTTATCAAGTCGTTGAGACAACAACAACAAGAACAATAAAATTACATTTGTAAAGCACCTTTCACGTCAGGAGGACGTCCCAAGGCACTGGACAGTGAGAGTTTCGGACCTGAGCTGGGGGCCGGCATCAGGGAGGGTGGAGGGCGGGGGGGGGGGGAGCAGGCACATCGGAAGCACGGTCGAAGAGGAGGGTCTTGAGATGGATCTTGAAGAAGGCAAAGGAGAGGGTGAGGTGGAGGGATTACGGGATGGAGTTCCAGAGGGTGGGGGCAGAGTGTGGCAGAAGGCCCGGCTGCCAATGGTGGGGCGGGCAAGGAGAGGGATGTGAAGCAGGCCGGAGCCCTCTGAGCGGAGGGAGCGAGCAGGACGGTAGGTGGTTAGGAGGTCACAGAGGTAGGTAGGAGCAAGACCATGGGGGGCTTTGAAGGTGAGGACCAGGATCTTGAACTGTATCCTCTGTGTGATGGGGGGCCATTGGAGTCGGGCGAGGAGACGTCTCAAAGCAATTCACAGAAAATACCGTAAAGTGAATTGACTGTATTTTCTGTGGGAGAAACTGGGCGGCCAATTGCGCACAGCCGGGTCCCCACAAACAATCGCGGATTAAGTGACTAAATTATTATTTTTGGGGAATTTTTCTTTGACCCGATTATTATCCCCGGAAAGCGATCCGCTCATTGACGAATGGGTTCCTACTTACTACTAGATAAACAGAGGCGTGTGGAGTAAGGAAACTTGCCTAAGGTTTCGCCCTGTCTGGGAACTGAACCCGGGTTCTCTCGCTTGCGAGGCGAGCGCTCTAACCAATACAGTACAGGAACTCCACAATTGGTGCTGTGCCATCTATTTGCTTTCACCAGCATCCCGTAAATCTTGATAACAGGCTAAGTTTGCCCTAGACATGAATGGTGCTCACACGCCTGGCAAGTTTCTTGTAACACTTCTCTCACACTACTGGAAAAAACTCAAGAAAAGTCTGTTGCTCCATAATAGGGGGTTGGCAGAGGTAAGGGGGAAGGATTCTTCCCACAGTGCTCCCGTCAACGTATGCAAGCCGAACAGGTAGGGTCCAGTCTGTCCAAGCTTCCCGCTGCTTGTCCAGCTAAGACTACCCTATTCGTTAGAGCTTTGGCTTGCAGGGTTAACAGGAGTTGAGTGGGAGGATTCCTTGCCCCCAGTGACTGGTCTGCCCTTCCAGGTCCTGCCGATGAGCCGGGCCGGGCTGTGCTGTCATCAGCAGTGAGTGCCCCGGGTTACCGCGGACCCGCCTGGCTCGGGAACTGATCTGGAGACCGTCAGAGGGCTCGATTCTGACATTCCTCTGCTAGGATGTCACTTTGGAGCCAGTTCAGCTCTAAGGAGACCCCACTTAACCCCCCCCCTCCCCCCAGGAGGATAAAAAGGGTGACTGAAGTTATTTGATAAGAGATAAGCCAGACAACTGTAAATTGGTGAGAGCCAGGCTATCACTTGATATCACCAAAGCACGAGATACTACACTGGCTACTGAACTAAACATGAGCGTAAGGATGTGTTGAATGGACAGACAGTGATGGAAATGAACAGCGAGGTCAATTTTAACTACGGAAAACAGGCTGCTTTATTTTGGTCTCAAACTTTCCATTTGGTCTGTTTACTGACAGCCCCGATGGGAGAATAAAACTCCTGGGACAGCTGTCTTGATAGTTTAACAAACCCAAATCATCACGCACGTTCACACACACACTCAAACACACGAACCCCCCCCCCCCACATACAGACAAACCACACACACACGTACAAACCACACGCGCCACAATCACACGTGCACACGCAAACAAGCAGACACCACACACACAGAAACGCACTCAAATTGCGCAGATACACAGAACCCACACACACACACAGACACAAACAAACCATACACATACCAATGCACACACACCACACTCACCCACACAAACAAGCCCCAACCACCAACACAAATTGCACACATAACACACAAAAAACACACAAACAAACACAAACCACACACAAATCAGAATAACCTTCGTCCCAAAACGCTTTACAGAATACACAGTAAAGTGTAGTGACTGTGTATTCGTGTTTTATGGGTGAAACGCGGCAGCCAATTGCGCAGGTAGCAGTGTCTCACAAACAGTCGTGGATTGAGTGACCGCATTTTTTTTTAGGGCCTCCTACTTTCTGCGAGGTAAACAGAGGGGTTTGGAGTGAGGAAACTTGCCTCAGGTTTCGTCCCGCCCAGGAATAGAACCCGGGTCCTCTCGCTTGTGGGGCGAGTGCGCTAACCATTGAGCTACAGGACCTCCTGAGGACATCCCGAGGCTCTCTCCACCTTTCAAAAATCAAAGCACCTGCCAGAACGATGCAGTTTAATTTCCCGTTTGGTTCCAAGTGAGCAATTCGCGTTCCCCCACAATCACGGGCTCAATAACCCTTCCCACTGCTCCCAAATGAACGCACAGTTTAAAGACAGCAACACAACGCGTGGAATTCATGCGTCACACGCAGCCCCGTTGGGGACTATTATGCGTCATGTGTAAAGGCACGGGTACAGACAGAAACAAAGGTGAACTTAATTGTACAATTAGCCATGGCCTGGAGTGAATACTTATTTAAATAATCACCAGCTATTAATCATGATTCAAGACACCTGCAATTCTCTGTCCACGCGTTCACACGTGGGCCAATGCAGCTATGTTTACACGCCAGTTCACACATGCCGCAGAACGCTGCCGTGTTCACACGTGTGTTAACACATGGGTTATGCTGCTGTGTTTACTCCCGAGTTTACGCAAGGTATCTAAGACTGCTGTTTCCACGTGCTCTTTTACGGATAACTGCTTGAAATAATAATAATCCTTGCATTTAATGGCGCACTTCATCACATTGGTCAGACGTCTCAAAAGCGCATCAGAGGATATACTATAAAGTGAATTGATGGTATTTTGTGGGCGAAATGGTTGCCAAGCTCCTACAAAATGCAGAGTCAGTGCAGTTGACAGCAATTACCTGTGATGCGCTGTGAGTCATTTCAATGTTAAGATGCTATCAAACACAAGGATTTTCTAACACACACACATCGCGTGAGAAACTGCCTTCTTCCTTTGAATAATGCCACAGGATCTTTAACATCTTCCTGAATGGGCCTCGATATAACATCTCGTCCCAAAGGACCCTCCCCCCAGCATTGCGTTGGGAGCGTCAGCCCTGACTTTGACAGCAAAGTAAAAACTAAATGATAATAATAATTGGGTCACTCAATCCAAGACTGTTTGTGGGACCCTTTTGTGCGCAATTGCCTGTCGAGTTTCACCCACAAAATAGAGTCAATTCACTTTATAATACATCCTGCGAAGCGCTTTAAGATGGCTCAATTACGTGATAAGGCGCTATATCAAATGCAAGGATTATTATTATAATAAAGACTTGAGATGGGGCTTGAACGCAACCTGATTAAACACACACACACACACGAACATACACACACGCATACACTTTGGAACCTATCGTGCTGTATTGACAAGTTTGTGGACGTCATGCCAGTGAAAATATCTCTGAATTTCAGACATGACGTCCCCACTCATGGCACCGCTCACTGTTCCTCCTTGGAATAACACGGCAGATTATTTCCCTGT